CCCAGGAGCCAGTTCCCCCATCCTGTAATGGATACAATTACATTTAGCTGTATTCAAACACACACTGTTTGCTTTGTGCCCAGCTTACCAAGTGAATCAGGTCGCTCTGTATCTGTGACTTGGCCTCGTCATTATTTACCCCTCCCCCGATTTTTGTGTCATCTTCAAACTTTCTCAGTGACGATTTTATATTTTCTTCCAGATCATTGATAAAAATGATCTTTCAGGGGGGAGGGATAGCTCAGTGGTTTGAGCACTGGCCTGCTAAACCCAGGGTTGTGAGTTCAATCCTTGAGGGGGCCACTTAGGGATCTGGGGCAAAATCAGTACTTGGTCCTGCTAGTGAAGGCAGGGGGCTGGACTCAATGACCTTTCAAGGTCCCTTCCAGTTCTAGGAGATGGGATATCTCCATTAATTTATTTATTATGATAAACAGGGTAGGCCCAAGATCCACCCTGAAAACCTGTTTCAGTCTGTCTGCAGACTCATTTTGTACTCGTTTCGTATTTAGGAGGTTCCCTCTGCAGGAATGAGAACTAGAAACGTACTTTAGAAAACAAATCTGAATGTGTCATGCAGGCCACATAGATATATCATACAGGCTAAGTCGGGCCTATGGGCCATACGTTGGACAAGCCTGACTTAGCACAATCTCATTTGGGGCCTGTAGGTATTACTGTAATACAAATAAATAATAATTTTGTATGTGGAAAACTAGGTTCTCATCTCATGGTGCCTTATCATAGGTTGTGAATAGACCTGAATATTTTTCTGATTGGAGACACTTCCTCTAATATTTCCACAAATTGATTTTAGCAAAATCTAAGTGCAATATAGAAGGACTCATGCTCCAAAATGTGGATCTGGTTTGAAGACCTGGATTATAAACTCCCTGGAGTTTGGGTGGTGTTTGGCTCTAAGGACCTGGTTTGGTTCACTATACAGAGAGGAGGCCATCTGAAAAAAAATCATATCTAATTAGCCTGCATGGAATGTTTGTCACCTCAAAATACCTGGCCAATGCTTATGTTATTAACAACCTAATTCTACAGTCAACTTGTGGAATTTGTTGCCATGGGATGTTGTGAAGGCCCAGTGTATAATTGGGTTAAAAAAAGAACTAGATGAGTTCATGGAGGACAGGTCCATCAACGGCTCTTAGCCAAAATAGCCTGGGATGCAACCCCATGCTCCATGTGTCCCTAAACCTCCAACTGCCAGAAGATGGGACTGGATGACAGAAATTGTCCTGTTCTATTCATTTCCCCTGACACTGAAGCATCTGGCACTAGCCCCTGTCAGAAGCCAGGATGCAGGGCTAGACAGACCATTGGCCTGATGCAATATGGCTGTTCTTATGGTATTATTTATTATTAGTGCCTAGAGCCTAGGTTGAGGCCCCATTGTGTTAGGGATTGTACAAACGCCTACTAATAATAATGCCTTGCTCTCACCTAATGCTTTTCATCAGTAGGTCTCAAAGCACTTTACAAAGGAGGTCAGTCTCATTATTTTACAGATGGGGAAACTGAGGCACAGAAAGCTGAAGTGACTTGCCCAAGGTCACCCAGCAGGCAAGTGGCAGAGCCAGGAATAGAACCCAGGTTCCCTGTCCAGTGTTCTGTACACACGGCAGTCCTGCCCCCCAAAAGGTTATAATCTAAATAACCAATGGGTGGGACAGAAAACAGCGAAGTGACTTGGCCAAGCTTATGCAGCAGTTAATAGTAGAGATGGGCCTAGAACCAAGTTTTCTGACTCCCAGTCCTGGCTTCTATTCATCAGCACTCTAGAAGATGGCACCCAGGGCAAACATGCTGCTTGCCTGCCCCTGGAACTGGTCCCTCATATCTGGTAGTGCTGTTAGTGTCACAGCTCCAGTTGACAGATCCAAGCCATGGAGAAGTTAAATGAGATATCCAAGGTCACCCAAAAAGCCAGCTGAAGTGCTGTTACTAGAACCCAGAGTGTCTGACTTCCTCGTTCTGTCCTCTATTCGCTGGAGCACAGGGCTTGGTTGGGCTCTTACGTCCGGGGGTGGTTAGATCTGGACTTTTATTTCAGTCTTTTCTCCAACCCAGAATGAATTCATTTTAACAGTGTATTTCCCCCCACTAAAAACCCATTGCGGGCAAACTGGATCCGATTGCACTGTGTGCTCCAGCCCTACTGGGAGTTTGCCAACTCAAGTCAGGCGGCTGCTGCTGCGGTCTTTCCTTTGTGCTCTCCGCAGGTTAGATATGGGATGTCTACCCACATTCAGCATGTAATGCCAGACTTTAATTCTGCTGAGTGGACTCTGCTCCTGAGTTCCAGCTACGCAGTATCAAATATGCAGTGATGGGCACGGTGTAACAACTGTATTTTTGTAAATCAAGCTTTGTATGCATTAGAAACAATTCTTTCCCCCCTAATTTTAAACTTTTTGTGTGTTTCTATCATAATTCGAGATGGCCCAGGCTCAATCCCCTCAACTCAGAAATCTTACCTGACTCCCAATCTTGTAGTATCTGAACACTTCACAGTCGATAACTCATCTAGCTTCACAACACTCCTCTGAGAAAAGGCAGTGCATCCCCATGTCGCAGATGGGGAACTAAGTCGCAGAGGGTAACATACAGGGTATGTCTACACTGCAATAAAAAAAATGTGGCACCAGGTCTCGAGGCTGGGCCAATCGACTTGGGCTTGCAAAGCTCGGGCTGCTGTGATAATAATTACAGCATAGTTGTTTGGGCTCCAGCTGGAGCCTGGACTGTGAGATCCACTCACCTCGCAGGGTTTCAGATCCCAGGCTCTGGACGAAGCCCGAATGTCTACCCTGCAATTTCTAGCCCAGCAGCCAGAACCCTGCAAGCCTGAGCCAGCTGCCCTGGGTCAGCCACAGCCAGGAGTCTTTTATTGCAGTGTAGACAAACCCAGAAAGGCTAAGTAACTTACCCTGGATCACACAGGAAGTTTCTGGTAGAGCAAAGAATTAAAGCCAGGTTGCCTAGGCTAGCACCCTAACAACTGAGCCATCCTTCCTCTCTGTGCTTGGAATTCTGGGAGGCATTTTGGATCTGAGTTGCCAAAATCAAATCCACTGCTATGGGGTCACATATAGCTTCTAGTCCAGTTTAGATGCAAAACCAGAAAAGTCCTGTTTCCTGGATCCAGTTTAGATATTGCCCAGAATGGTGAAAATCTTGCAAATTGCAGCTGATCTTGCAAGATTCCTATACAGTATATGGCCAAGATCTCATAAGACTTTCTGGTGAGAATTTGGCACCATCCACTATGAACCCAACCTGATGCCTTTGTTTAGCACCAAACCTGAACCTTACCTAACCTCTGGATACAAATGCCTCCCATATCACATAACAGATTATACTGGATTGAAAATCTGAGTCCAATACATTTGTTAGCCCATGTAGTAAACATTATTTTCTCTTGAAAATCTGATGAAAATGATTGAGGCCTATTATGTGTCTCATAAATCTTGTTTGCGGGATCTCATGTGGATTAAATTAGGGGACCCTGTGGGAAATTCCAGGTGGCAAGTGGCTCTCTGGATATGTCCACACAGCAAAAAAAAAACCACAGCAGCAATTCTCAGAGCCCAGGTCAACTTACTTTGGCTCATGTTATGGGGCTAAAAGTGGCAGTGTAGCTGTTCCTACTTGGGCTCTGAAAACTTGGCAAGGCAGGTGGGTCTCAGAACCCGAGCGGAACATCTACGTTGCTATTTTCAGTCCTGTAGTGTGAGCTCCATGAGCCCAAATCAGTTGACCAGGGCTCTGACACTTGCTGCCACGAGTGTTCTTTTGCAGTATAGACACACTCTTTCTGGTCCCAAATAACAACTAAATTTTAGCATGAAGCAAACAGGTTTGTGGGGCTATACGCAGGATCGCGCAACTCCAAGCATTAACAAATCATGTTGGGCTGCCAAAAATCACAATATGGATTTAAAAATCATGAGGTTCTTTTTCTTTGCCTTCTGAGCCTTTATTAGGGTGACTTGGTTCACATTTTCAGGCTTTTTTTGTGCAACTGTGAAGGCTAGGAACCTGCTTGCTTGCTTTTCTTAAATGAAAGCTGAGTCCCATGTAATCACTTGCCTCCAGGAGCAAGGGCTTCAAGGGCTGCAAATGTCATGAAGTGAATGATAAAATCATTCATCATGAGAGTTGGTAACACTGCTAGCGGTGTCCGGGACTATAGTTCTTCGAGCAGGAGGTGAGGGATTCTAGCAGAGTCGCTGGCATTTCCAGCTCTGCAGCTTCCAGCCCAGTGGGATGGGCGGCAACTCTCTGGCCCTACAGCACATATGTGGGCACTTGCAGGAGGTGAGGCGGAGGTATAGGGTGGCTGCTCACGCATTCCCAGAACACCGACACTCCGGTACTTCTGGGAAGGGTGAGACCTCGCTCCCTGGGCACATGCTGGGTCTTGCCGCAGGGGGGGCACCATTTAGAAGAACAGACCATCCTATCCCCACCATCTTGACCGCACCCCCTTGGCGTAACCTTGCCCAGTCATGCCAACGGGGGCCAGGTGCTCTTCACTAGGGCTTCCCCACCCTACCAGGCCCTGCTTTGTCTCAGGGCGGCCCGGCTCACAGACGGGCCAGGGGCCTGGCTTGGGGTGGCAGAAGGGGCTACAGGGATCTGGGGTGAGCCCTTGGAGGGCAGCCACAGGGGGCTCAAAGGGGACACGGAGCAGCCCACGAGCATCCCCCCACCCCTAAACAGGGCTCAGCTGGGCCTGGCCACAGCCCCTCCCCAGCCAGGCCACCCTTCTGCCGTAAAGCGCCATAAAGTCCAGCGCCGCTGGCTGCTGAACTTCCCCCTAAGTCGCAAAATTGCCGTCAATCGGGGGAAGGAGGCTGTCTTCTCTCAGGCAAACGTGCTGATGGCTGTCGGCACCCGTGGGCGGGGCTAAGAGGAAAACAAAGCGCCGGGAGGCCAAATTAGCCAATCAGAGGAGATGCGTCATCCCTTGAGCCAATCGGCAGCGGCTAAGGGGGCGGGAATGGGCGGCAGCAGGAGTGGTTGAGTTCCACGTGGAGCTAGGCGGCCTGTCCACGTGAGGGCGGGCGCCGGAGATGAAGATGAAGCCGAGAGCGGCCGCGGGCGGCGGTGACCGGGTAAGGCGGGAGGGGACCGAGGTTCCACGTTCTACCCTGCCCGGGGAAGACGGGTCCAGCCCCTGCCGGCCGGGGATCCACCCCCCCCCATCTTCCCAGCCCACCTTGGGGGCCCGTCGTTACCCCCCCCCCATTCGTAGGGAGACGTTTCCGGCTGGGTCTGGGGGGAAGTAGAGCGGGGTCTTGGCCCTGGTGGTGGGGGCGGCAGATTAACGACCCCAGAGCGCCCGTCACTGGGCCGGGGGGAGGATCGGCTGCCACTTCCTGCAACCTGGACCTTAAACGAGAAATGTTCGTTCTTTTAGCCACGCGATTGGGTGTGAGAGGCCCTGGCCGGCCAGGCGTGGGTTAGGGGTAACTGGGAGTGAATGAATCCCGGCACGGGGCAGAGAAATCCCCCAGCCCCCTGAACAGAGTAATCCCCTTCTCTCCCCGCACCCCGCTATTGGACGGCTGTGCTTAATAACCCGTAAGGAAGTTGCGGGTTGGAGCTCAGGTGGGCTCAGGTTGTTTAACTAAAACTCCGGGAGTTTACCCAGCACTGTCGCAGTAGCTGTGCCAGGGCAAAGGAAACGAATCCTTGCCCAGAGGAGCTTGCCGTGAAAAGTCCCAGATCAAGCCCTGTGGTGAGGCTGCAATATCGCCTTGGTATGAACTGATACTGTGTGTATATTAGTTGTTAGACAAAGGAAGCTAGTCAAGTATCATAGGGGTAGCCGTGTTAGTCTGAATCTGTAAAAAGCAACAAAGGGTCCTGTGGCACCTTTAAGACTAACAGAAGTATTGCAAGTCATCTGAAGAAGTGAGGTTCTTACCCACGAAAGCTTATGCTCCCAACACTTCTGTTAGTCTTAAAGGTGCCACAAGACCCTCTGTTGCTTTTTAAAGGAAGCTAGTGAATCATTGGCCTGGCAGGCAAAATTCTTCCCAGCACTGGATTTCTTGACTCTCCATTTCTGCTCTGTGTTAAACATCCTGGTAAGTGAGTGCAATGGGTAGTAACTTACATTGCCTCTCTAGATGTGGGCCTACATATTACAAAGAGCTGGGGCTGGAAGGGATCTTGGGAGGTCATCTAGTCCATGCAAAATTACCTCTCATTCTGAAAGATCCCAAAGTACTTTTACAGAGGAAGGATGAGACAACCCGTTAGAGTGCTAGCTCCAGACCTGGAATTCCCTGCGCTGCCCCAGGCTTCCTGTGTGATCTTTGGGCGAGTGATTTAGTCTCTCTGTGCCACAGTTCCCCATCTGTACTGTGGGGGTGACAACTCTATTCTACCTTGTCAGGGGTTGTGTGGATAAAGACACTAAAAATGTGTGAGGTTCTCAAGCACTGTGGTATCCAAACACAGGCACACAACACGCACAGCTGGCCAATGCAGAAAAAAAAACAGCTAAAACCTCTCCTTGCTGTTTTTATCTAATGTGAATAACAGGGATCGTAGTTGCTATATGTACAATACAGCCTCAGCGTTTCAAACACCAGAGTTGTGAACTGACCGGTCAACCATACACCTGATTTGGAGCTGGAAGTGCGCAATCAGGCAGCAGCAGAGAAACTCCCCCCTCTGCGCCCCCCCCCCAAAAGAAAATACAGTACAGTGTTAAATGCAAACTATTAAAAATATAAAAGGAAAGTTTAAATTAAAAAAATGATTTGACAGGGTAAGGAAACTGTTTCTGTTTCATTTCAATTAAGATGGTTAAAAGCAGCATTTTTCTTCTGCGTAGCAAAGTTTCAAAGCTGTGTTAAGTCAATGTTCAGTTGTAAACTTTTGAAAGAACCACCATAACATTTTGTTCAGAGTTACGAACAACCTCCATTCCCAAGATGTTCGTAACTCTGAGGTTCTACTGTAGCAGTAATCGAGAAGACAATTTGAAGTGACTGTTCTTTTAAATTCAGTGCCTCGGTTTCCCCCTCTTTAAATGAAGATAGGTCAATAAATGCTTTCAAGGGTGTTTTTGTTTGTAAAGCACTTTTTAGAGGGCAAGGCTACGAGTAAGAAATAAAAGACATTTGATAGTCTGATTGGGTATATAACTTACCTTCCCGGGGCAGTGCCAGCTTCCCCATCTCACGCTTCAACCCTCTTGTGTAAGGCAGAGAATTTCATTCAGTTTCGATGGCCCATTTAGTCCTCGTCTTTTCTGTTGAGACTACTATATAGGGGGTCTGTTGGTGCCAGTCCTGGAGGTGGCTTGGGTATTAAGGTCACTTACCCATTAGGAACTGGGCCGAGACCCACCCAACCTTGAGGTTTCTTACTGACTCTGCTTTGGTGACTCTCACTTTCTCCCAGTGGCGTTTGTGATCAGATCTGCACGGCTTCTAATCGGCTTGTTTATATCATCGCAGGCATTTGACGATGCGGAGGGAGACCTGGAGGCAAAGGAGGAGAATCAGGATCTCCCCAAGAAAGGCAAACCCCAGGGAAGGAAAAGGGCTTCAGTCCCGGATGGCGTTGTGAAACCAGTGAAACTCAGCCGGGCTGATCTGTACAAGCCGCCCACCAATGAGGAGCTGAACCAACTGAAGGAGACCGAGAACCTCTTCCATTCCAGCCTTCTCCGCCTGCAGGTCAGAAGAAGCCGGGGAATCAAATAGGACCCACTTTGTGCTGCATTCAACCTGGTAGCCTGATTCTTTCCAGCCTGGAGTGTATGTTGGAGACTGGGGAGGCTTGGGAAGCAGCAGATGCATTACTGCACGGGGAACTGACAAGCTCCAGTCCCAGTTCGGCCCTGACTCGTGCTGCCACCTTGAGCGAGTCCCTTGACCTCTCTCCAGTTTGTATAATGGGGATAACACCATTGAGCCCCTGGCAAGGGAGGAAATTTGATGGGTTTGTTCATCTGGGGTGATTTCATTTTCAGCGGGTGAACAAATGATTCTCTGATTCTTCACCCGCAGTGTGATGGGTGGACAGTGGCGCTGGCTGAAAAATGTATGAAATTTTTGGCCAAAAAAGCCTTAATTTTGGGGGATCAGAGTTTTGGAAATAGATTTTGTGCCTGAGATGGTAGTTTTCACGGTGATATCGCTAGATATCTGCTGCTAGACGCACTGCTGCTGAGCTCTCTCTCTCTGCCTGTTTCTAGCATCGAGTGATGTGCGGGGTCCCGAGCTTTGGATTTTGCTTCTCCTTGTGGGGTTCCACAGTGTCACCTGGGTCAGCGCTGGGGGATCTAGTTGCAGGATCAGGGCCTCCATTTGGGGGAAGAAGGCGGTTGGGGAGGCCCTTGATTTTGGCTGCTGTTTGGACATTGGCTTGACTTTATGAGTGAGTGCTGTACGTGTGCCTGGAATTGTGGATAGTGCACTGGGATGCCTCGGCTGTGGGTGGGACACATTTGCCTGTTGGGGGTTGGGAGGCATTGGACCTTTCATTTGGAAGTGTGGGAATGTGCATTTGCTGTAGAATTGTAGGTAGTCACAGAGCCAGATAAAATGGCCTAGTGGTGTGCCTGGTGTTTACCATTTTGGAGACCTGGGGTTCAAACCCCACGTGAACCCTGGCTGGAAAACTGAAAAGTATACACGCTAGTTATTGGGCTCAGTATAGGAGTACGTGAATGAAATTTAATGGTCTGCGATAGACAGGAGGTCAGGATAGATGCTCTGAGCTCTCTTCTGACCTTAAACGCTCTCAGTCGAAGAGGAGCAGTTCTGAGCCACGTTCTGTGCCAGCTGGATGGCTGGGGAGGCAAGCCCACACCTACCCCGGCTCCTGGATGCTGCAGTGGCTTTTGCTGTAGCAGGGATTCTTTCCCTTCACCCTTCCCAGCCACAGTGAAACCGATGTCGGCTGCACCCATTTGTTCTGGCTAGGCATCAGACAAGAGCCGAACTGACACTTCGAAGTTTCAGTGCTGCTTATGAATTAGCAGCAGCAGAGGGACCCACGTGAACCACCACTGGCCAGTGGAGGATCCCGCTTGGAGAGTAACAGTTGGTATTTGGTATCATGCAACCATATTCCCCGTATGTCCAGGTGCTGGAGAAACCTCCCTGGCATAGAGGAGTCATTGAGAGGGACTGGGAGTTCCCCTGTCTCACCCTATGGAGAGCGTTGCCCTCTGGTCCAGGCTGGGAATACCCATTGGGGCAGGATAAAAGTCTGCAGTGATTGCCGTTGCTAAGGCTTCCCTTCATGGTCTCCCCTTCTCTCTGCAGATCGAGGAGCTGCTGAAGGAGGTGAAACTAAAGGAGAAGAAGAAGCAGAAGATTGATGCCTTCCTCCACGAAATCAATACCCTGTTGAGTGCTGTCCCGGAGACCCCGGAAACCGATGTATGTCCTGGGACGGCCGGGGGAGGCAACGGGGCTGTCTGCTTAAAAACGAGCGGTGCTGTCAACGAGCCACTTCCGACTGGCTTTGCCCTTTGCGTTTCACGCCTTGTGTTTACGACTCAGCCGAGTGGTGCAGCCGTCCCAACCCCTGCTGGACCTACTGCCACTCCCCCTCCGGAGCATGTTTCTGGGGTGCATAGATCCTGCCATCCCCACCCTGTAGCTGTAAGGTACATGGATATCATGGCTGGGATGTGTAGACAGAGAATACAGGAGAGAGGACTGTGAAGTGCGGGGGATCCCTGCAGGACCCGTTTCCAGCCACTGAGTTACAGCCTTTGGTTCAGGGTCCTACACTCCCCCTTTGATGCTCTGAGCAGTATTTTGGGTGGCAGAGTCCCAGTTCACTTGGCAGAGCCCTGCTAGTAGCTGGGTGAGCTCAGTCACTGCTGGGAACTGGAGCATGGGCTGTCCTTCACCCCTCCCTGCCTTTCACAGCTCGCCGACCAGTCCTGGCTCCCAAAGGACGTGAAGGTTCCGTTCCTCCAGGTGCCTGTCAGCGTGAAGGGGAAGTTCCGCTTCCTGCCGCCAGCCGCGGTGACGGTGGTGGGGAGCTACCTTCTGGGCACATGCATCAAGCCGGAGATCAATGTGGACGTGGCAGTGACGATGCCCCGGGTGAGTCCAAGCATGCCTGGCAGGCGTGGGGTCGGTGTGGTGCCATGGCTGAGCCTGCGACCTCCCGTGCTCCACGGCCGGTGTCTTCTCCTATAGAAGCTTAACGCTGAGTGCTATCACAGGGTAAAGATGCCCAGTGCATGCAGCCCCCAGATTCTCTATCTAATGTGCCAGGCTTACCGTTCTAGGGCTTAGATCAGGTGATGCATTGTCTCAGGCCTTGCTTTGTGCCAGAAGTTGTTAAGGGAGTTGGACCTCATCCCATGGGGACTCCATTGTCCCCGCTCCTCTCAATCTAACCAGATCCAAGCTTCCTGCTGCTTGATTTCCAGCGCAATTGAAGAAACAACGTGTCCCCTTCTCCTGTCTGCTCCCTCTGCCTGGGTAGGGACTGGGCCTTTTCTTTAACGTCAATGAGTTTAGATGCAGTCTGGCTTCCTTAGCCACCATTCGGCCTGCCCTTGGCCTGCTCCTGAGCCTGTGTCGAAGAGCAGGTGAAGCCGTGGCACCATTCACCTGCACTTGTAGTAGGGTGTATGCCAAGAACTCGCATAAGAGCGCTTTCCGTGCCAGGACTTCCTGTCCCTCTTTTCAGCTCACTCCTCAGAACCACTCTGCCTTTTATGTGCCTGGCTTTCAGCTAAAGTGACCCACCCGGGCTGGCTGTCAGGGTGAGTCAGCAGAATAGCTCTGCACTTCCGTGCAGGAGGCATGCGGTCTGCTAATGCTTGGCCGGCTGGTTGCGGTTTGCTGGCCCTGTTAGAGCTGGAGCGGATGGCTCTGCGTTCTGCAGTGCTGTTTCTCTGGCTATCACCTTCTCGCCCCAGAGGTGGCTGCATGTCTGCAGGGGAGTGAAGGGTATGTGTGTTGGGCTGAACTGGGCTCTGGAAGCGTCAGAGATGATTCCTCTGTCCCCCTTCTTGCTCAGGCAATCCTCCAGGACAAAGACAACCTGAACCAGCGATACCACCGGAAGAGAGCTCTGTACCTGGCCCATATTGCTCAGCACCTCTCCAAGGAAAAGCTCTTTGGCAGCGTGAGATTCACGTACATGAACAGCAACCATCTCAAGCCGATCCTGCTCCTAAAGCCTCAAGGTACCATGTCTGTGAACTCCCCACCCATCCTTTGCTCCCCTAGGGCCTCCTGATCCCCGGGGCTCTTCTCACCTTGTCAGTGAAGTTGCATAGGTCGACTAGCGGGTGGCGCCATCACATCAAGCAATGCCAGGTCTGTGTGCATGCTGCAAACCCCCCCACATCACTGGCAGGGCTGTGCCCAAGGGTCTGACACTGGTACCTGTGTGCACAGGACATGGGGCTGGGGAGAAAACTGGCCTGGAGTCGCCGTTGATGTGCATCGCTCTGGGAGCCGGGCTTGGACTCCCGGCCTCGCAGGCTAGGGCGATCAACAGGAACTGGCAGTGCAGAGACACTATTGGGAGCAGGTATCAGAGGGGTAGCCGTGTTAGTCTGAATCTGTAAAAAGCAACAGAGGGTCCTGTGGCACCTTTGAGACTAACAGAAGTACTGGGAGCATAAGCTTTCGTGGGTAAGAACCTCACTTCAGACTTGCATCTGAAGAAGTGAGGTTCTTACCCAC